GGATGGGGCCTGCTCCTGGAAAACGGCAGGTTTCCGAACAAAAACACGGCCTCGGAAATGGGGGAAAATAAATCTGAACTTGGAACCTGCAGGAAGTTTCCGTGGCTGTTTGTGTGCTGTTACATCCGTCGCAGGCAGCAGTACGTTGTTGTCGTTGCCTGATGTCTGTAGTCTAATCTCTTTACTTGACACCTTTTTTGCCTTCAGAAAGAACTAAAAAAGTTAGTTCTCAAGCTCCCAGTGAGATTTCACATTCAAGCTCCAAGAGTTAGTTGACATTTCACCAATACTAATACAGTGAACGTTGTGGAGACTCCATCAGAAAGTGGATCCCTGCCGTGTTTTTGGTCATTATCACGTCTTTTGTAACCTGTAGCCATCTCAGCCTGTGCTACAATTTTATACAGAGTGAGGGTCGGCACAAACAGGTACGCGACACTTGCTGCATTTTATATCGGCACTATTGTGGTCGCAACCTCAGCTGGGTCTGCTTTACTCACTTGGCATCCTTGAGAAAAGTACACCGTGTCCAGCCAGTTAAAGGCCAGCACTCAATTTCAATTTACGAGAGTGCAAACAGTAACAGAATCAACCCAAGCTTACAGGAGTGCGCTGTGCTGCCCTGCCTCTCTTTTTCATTCCCTGAGCTTGTAACTTGAATCCAACACCCCTTACGAGCGTCAGCTGTTCAGATAGGCATCTGCATTTAGAATCCATTTACTTGGTTATGCATTTGGTACTAATGTGTTTATCTTGCCATAGATCTGTGGCCTGCTATCCCGAACACTTAACGGAAGGATTCAGTTATGAGCGCTTTCTGCTGTGTCCTGTAACGAGGAGCAAGAGAGAAGCAGAGCATGACTGAAACTGAGGGAGCTCAGGGCGAGAGCCAGTGCGGATTCATTGCAGTGAGTTACTGAAGCTCCATCGGTACCAGAGTTTCCATCTGCAGGAAGGTTCTCCAGGTCGAAGTCATGCGAAGGATTTTGTTTTTTCTTCCACGATTGGAGAATCTTACATAGTTTACTTAGGGACTCGCTGCAGATGGTGGTACTAGATGCCCTTCTTTGTGACTTGGTTGGCTGTTTCCGAAACAGTGTAAAAGTGGTGTATAACTGTGACTAGCTGGTCACAGTAAACAAGTGAGGTTGGCAGTTTCACTGAGTTTTCTCACCAGTTGAAACCGCAGTGTGTGAAAAGAGCCCCAGGTGAGACACGGATTTCTGTTGTAAAAACAAGTTATTTAAATTGTCTCAATGGCTTCATCTTTGGGGGAAAAACTAGAAGTGACTCCAGAGGTAAAGTCCCTTCAGACTCTACTGCTTCAGCCAGTTCTTTAGTAGCCCAGAGGTGGAAGTTTGCAGCATGTCTGATGTATGTATACTGTTTGAGAAATTTGCAAAATTAAATTAACTTAATTGCTCGAACATTATTTCTGTTTGAGAACACAAAACATTCACTTTTATTGTATAAAACAGTATTTTATAGCATATATAACATTATACTGTAATATTGGTTGAATAATTTAATCAAAAGAACAACAGTTAGAAAAGCCATTGAATCCAACATTTCATTAAGAAACAGTTTGGAGAAATTACAAAAAAACAAACATTTGTAAGTTTTAAGCTAAATTTGCCTGAAACTAAAGTTGTCTGAAAGCTCAGTGTGTTCAGATAGGAGTACAGGACAAGAACTGTGTTTTCCCCTGCACTGCCAGGCAGTCAGAACTGAATCTTGGAACAGAGGCTATGAGAAGCCACAATTCAAGTAGCTGGTGGAGCGTTAATACAGTAAGTTTGTAGAGTGGAATCCAGCAGAGATCACACTAAAATCAAGCTGCTGCATTTAGTCTTCACAACAGGTCCTCACTGTCCTGCCCGCGTCAACAGTAGTTAGACTCAATTAGTCTCAGCCTACAGATGTTAGATGTTCTGCCAGAAGCTGTCCCTGCTGAATAGTTGGCGGTGTTTGGCACAATGGGTGTGAAATAGCATCTCACCTGCCAAACAGTCTTGTAATATTCAGATTATGGCAACTGGCATAGTATAGCTGTTAAAAGGGAACATTACCCTTTTTTGTCAAACACGCAAAACTCTTGTGATCCTCTCCCATTGCACTGCACAAACTCAGTAGTTGTTGTTGTTGTTCCTGCCTTGTTACAATAATAATAATGTATTGCATCTATATTCGTGCTTTTCATCCTGAAGAATTCCAGAGTGGTTTTCACAGCCCAATTCGGTACAGCCCCACCTGGCTTTCATGTGGCAGCCATTCTGCACCAGCAGGTAGGAAATTTTCAGCAACTGAATGAAGGTGGAACGTGGAGGGGGGCATATTGTATTAGCACAGAGTGGAACTTAACCAGGACACCAGCATTAACGCCCCCTCTCTTACAGTGCCCTGGTCTCTTTAAAATGAAACAGACCTTTGTTTAATGTATGTTTACGAAGATAGTAGATTTCTGTCACTGATTAAAGATCCCCATATGTTAAAGTAGGAAGTGAGTAGGATAATTCTAGCAAAAACTCATTAGAGAATACATTTAAAAAAAAAATCAAAGGATATAATTTTTTGGGCATCTTAAATTCTAAAATATATTGGTTGGCCAAAGTCTTGCAACTGACAAAAGGATGAACTGGGGGGCGTTTTATGCCAGGGCGTGGCTTGTGGTCGTGTTTGCCACTGTGACCCTGGGGCTGGCGGAGGAGCTGTCTGTGGAGGAGGAGCTGACTCCTGCTAACGGGGACACATCTGCACCGAGCTGGAGCAGAGCCCACATCGCCGGCTCCGCCAGCCCAGAAAAAACACTTGGCTTGTGCAGGACAGGCATCTGCAGAGTAATGGTAAAAGGAGATTTGCTAATGAGTAACAATTCTGGAGTAATTAAAAGCTGCTGCTGTAGTGGGGCCAATTTTCTAGAAAGAAATGACAACTGCTTTTCGTCTATCTTCAGTTGAGGCCAGTGTGTTTATGTAAGGTGACCAGATTTTTTTGCTATCAAATTAGATAGCAATAACTAAAACTCAAAACTGCATTTTATTCATCTGTAAAAATATCTACAAAAGAGAATAAGTTCAAGCTAAAACTGGGAAAGTGATTTTTTTTTTTTTACCCTACACCCTTGATACTTTGTTAGAAGTTTTGTTTTTTTTTTATTAAGCATTTCAACTGCATTACTCCTGAAGCCCCCAGCCTATACCACTGTGGCTCAGACACATCAGGCATAAGTTAATATTCAAGGTTCACTCAGAACAGAACTATAAACAGACACTAGGGAAACATGCCTGTTTTCCAGATTTGTGCTTCTTGACCAAAAGGATAAATAAAAAATAACTTGTCATATACCGTAGGTGTGTAATAGTGGCATAAAAGTATTTTCCTCCACCTCTTACATTTCACTTAGCATAGACAGAGGAGCTCAAGGAATTGCTGAGACGACTCTGCCTAGGGAATGATGTTCATCAGCAAGTATCTGAATAAACTGGTAACATTAGCTGAAGGAGGTGCCGTGGCTGCTGTGCCCATTTGCACTGAGCAAGCGAAACCCCGCCAGGCTGCAGTTCATCCCCTGCGTCTGCTGAACAGAGCGGGGAACAAGCCAGGAGAGGAGCCTCACGATCACACAAGAGCACGGCCACCAGCGTGCGAGGCTGCAGATTTAACCTGAGCCCCCTCTTACTGCCTTGGTAGCATAAAGGCTAAAAAAAACAGGTCCAGGACTCTCCGATGTGCTCAACGAGGCTTCCAGATCGACACGAGAACTGAAGGGTTGTCCGAGTTCCAGAGTTGAGGCACAGACGGGGTTTCAAATGAGTTCTTCTGTTCCGTGGTAAAATCGGATTCCAGCTGTGGCTATTAAAATAATTCCTGAGACCTGTAGTTGTGTTGGACCCAAGTAATCCAGTCCCGCTGAACTGGGTGACCAAATTTTAAGCTCAAGGTCCCTGACAGAAAAGAAAACAAGGTATTTTTAGTTCCTGAAATTAAAAAATTAGATTTAATTAACAATTACTTGCATAATACTCATTAACTATGCTGCGCGGCAGACCACGTACAGCAGCGAGACCGTCTTTTATACCACCATGGCCACGAATGTTCCTGGCGTCATGAGTTGCTGGTCAGGGAATGACAACAGGAAGTGGCTCGAGGTACGATTAGTAATGCCTGATTGATTTCGCCGCTTCTGACGCTAGGCAGCTCTTGCGGGAAAGGCTGCCAAGAGTACAAGGGTGAGGAAGAGCCCCTCCTCTTTCTGCAGCATCGCCTACCTGAGACAGAGCCGTGAGCCCTCCCTCTGTAGGCTGAGGCCTCCCCTCCTGCACCGTGTCCCGTCTCCCTGCACAGTGCGCACACACAAAGCACAGAGACGGATTACCACACACGGCGTTCGGCAGCAATGCAACTCATCCCCACATGAGCTTAACATTCATCCACCCTTCATGCGGGGTGAGCGTCTCTGCAGGCCCGAACCCCATCCCGGAAGCACGGGACACCCTGGACAAGACAGTAGTCCATCACCGGACATAACACACCCTGGACAGGACAGCAGTCCATCACCGGACACGCACCCACCCTGGACAGAACAGCAGTCCATCACGGAGCACAAGGCTTGACCTGGATTACCTATATCTATACCTATACTTAGACCAATACCTGGATTGCCTTTCTATTCGACTACCCCAAAAAGATTCAGCCCCCTCAAGGAGCAGAATTTTCTTCTCAGCCCAGAAATTAATCTGGCTTCTTGTTTCTATACTGCCTCCAGTGGTAAGAACAAGGCACTGCAGGTACTCAATACCTGGGTAAGGGGGGTGCTCTGAGAAGCCTCTTGGGGGCAGTGTCGCTCAGCTGCTCGTGCTCCTTACCCGCCCGTCTTGAGAAGGGGTTGACTCCTGTGGAGGCCGGGGGGGGGAACGCTGCTCCGGATCCTCCTGGGGGGGGCGCCGTCAGAGGAGGGGCTGAGGCGTCCTGGTGAAATAAGAACCTGCAGTCTGACTCCGGTCTGCCAGGGAAAATGGGTTTGTTTGAAATTGGATGTATCCGAAGTCTACAACACTAACTCGCACGACCCACGGTGTCGAACGAGCGACTCTGGAGGGCGGGAATCGGTCTCGGGTCGCCCTGCGGCGCGTCGGAGCTCGCCTCAGAGAGCCACACGGTGTTGTGCAAGTCTGGGTTCAGAGACTCCACTTCAGTCCTCTCTCCGAGGGCTGGAGGAGCAGGGCGGACAGGCGCTGTACCTCTCCAGCCCCGTCGGTGCCTCGATCTCCCTCCACCTGGGCGGCTGGCTCCACACGCGAGGCGGGTTTGGACTTGAACCAACTGAACCACCCCCGTTTAGAGCTCTTGGAAAACAAAAAGAAAAAAAGGGAGAAATACACTTCACCGTGCATCCAAACGCTGTTGACAGGGACTGAGTTAACATTGGACTACTGCACCGTGACAGATACTCTGGCATTAGACAAACATTCTTCCCCAAGACAACAAATCTAATCCCAGAATTCCCACACCTGCCAGAGTGAGAACAGCTCCCAATCCTACTGGGAGAGGGAACTCGGTTGAACTGGCAGCCCAGTATGTGATCTCCTGGCACAGCCTGAGGAACAGTGAGCCTGTCTGTCAGTAATGTTCGATGTGTCGTTTGTTGTATGTAAATGGCCAGCGCTGCATTTGTACTATAAATGTATGTTGATGTTGTATTGATTGCGTATGCTTTTGTTAACACTGTAATTTACCAGTCACGCCCATAAAGCTGTTGGAATGTGAATGCGTTTGAAATGTAATTAAATCCCTCGTCTTTTCAGTCGCTTTCTTCAAAGAAGTTGGCTAGGGAAGTAGGAGGCGGTAAAACGAGGGACGCGGATTGTGAAGTGTTTTTCCTCCTCCTATCGAACATCTCAAAAACGTATCCAAGCTCCAACTCCGGTTTCTTAAGGAAGGGCCTAGGTTCTGGTGTGGAAAGACGCCGGGCTCACAGCGCTAAGATGTGAGCAATCCAGGAGGCAGGAGC